TCTGTAATATCTCTATGTGTTTGGGTCGCAAAATAGTATACTTAGACTGTTCGGATCGTTCTAAAATTTTTGTATGATAATTCTACATATGTCTACTTTCGAAAAATGCAAAAAAAAAAAAAAAATTAATTTTTTCAAAATGATAAACCAGAATAAACCCTTAATCTACTTTTGAGTTGTCATGCTACATTTAGATAGTTTTTATTATGTATCTATGCTCTAGGTTTAAAATCGTGTCATAAATATTTTTATTTTATTGAGGCTTGTTATGCTGGCTTGTCACAGAAAAGAAAAAGAGGTTAAATATATTTCCCCGAAGAAAATATGACAAAAAAAAAAATAATACAAAGTTTATTGTGTGCATATTTTTAAAAAATTTTATCGGTATGGTAGATTTAGTGTTAAACAAAATTTAAAAAAGAAATAGATTTGTATCTTTATTTTTTCCAAATAAACTGTAATCCACATATTAAACTTAAATTCAAAATTTAGAAAAACATTTTGTTATCAAATGTATACATTGTAACAAATAATTGATATATCATATTATATTTTTAAAAAATTTTATTTTAATTGATAAATTTTTAAAGATACAGTTTCTGCATACTCTGTAGGAAAAACAAATAGAAAAAAAATTTTAATTTGTAATAAATTTTATTGGTATTTCTTATATTTTTTTTATTTTATCTTTATTTGACTATGTGACCTTCTATAGAAATAGTAAAATTATAAATTAAACATATTTTAGGCAAGCAGAATGTTTGGAAAACAGTTTCAATGTAATAATATTACAACAATTGACGGGATGTACTTTTCAGCTTTGCATATCTGGTTATAATACACTTATAGTATGTATTGGATGAGATAAATAAATTTACGAAAAATATGTAATACTCATATTCTTATTTTAAGGGCTCGGTAAACAAAGAAGGATTGACACTAATTATATTCTTTGTATATGCTTTTTGCGTTTTAAGTACATTGTTTATTTATTGTTACATCGGCGAGTGCCTTATTCAGGAAGTAATAAAAATAATTAATCAATATTAAGAGTGTCTTATTTGCTTTGATTTTAAACAGCACTTTTCTCTTAACTTTATAAATTTTGTAATAATAACAATTTTTTTATATTTTTTATTTTACGTTTACGGCTTAACTAAATTGTAAGGACTAATTCTCATATAATAGATAAAATCAGGCAGAGACAATCACAATTAGTATATAGACAGCTAATCCTTTCGACAAACAATGTAGTGATTATTCCAGAGAACAATTGAGACGACATTTTTGAAAAAGTGGTCTATGTATCAAAAACTTAGTAAAAGAGCTATGTAAACTTACATTTATTTACGAAATTGAAAGTTATAATTTTATTCTTAAATTAACTTTTATATTTTTTACTGAAAATAATTTACAGATAATTTTTAAAATATTTAGTAGATAATTATATTAAGTAACTTAAAATTTTTTAAGAAATAAAATTACATGAAAAGATTTTTTCATTTTATTTACATTTGTAAACTAAATTTTCTCGTAGGTTAAAATCTTTTTAACTTTAATCTTATTCTTATTAAGAAAGACGAACTATTTATTGATGATTCTAGTATTTAATAAAATTGATAATAATCAAATATAATAGGACACTCTTTATTAATTCTATCATTTAAATAGACGCTATAAAAACTTTTTAAATAATATAGAGTATGAGTCTAAGCAACGCATTTTATTGTTACGAGTGGTATAACATTTCACCGATAAATCAAAAAATGATTTACATGTGCATGCTACGAATGAAGAAGCCACAACAATTGACTTCTGGAAAATTCTTTATCTTATCATTGGCTACCTTTACCGACGTAAGTATTTGTTATGTTTTAAAAGACTTATCATGCATAGAAATAAGCAATATAATATGGTCTTTGTATTCTGTTTTACAGATTCTTAAAACTTCAATGGGATATCTGTCAGTATTACGAAATTTTCTATAAAAAGTTCTTTTTAATTTCGCTTCTATGATCATTATCTTTTATATTAAAAAAATATTCTTTATCCATAAATACCTTTTTAACCAAAATCTTTATATGTATATGACTATAGTTTTAACCATTTATAAAACTATTCCTGTAGTTTTAGATTATCATGACAATATATATCCTTAATTAAATTTATTAAGCTCCATTTAAGAAAGTACACGAATTTTTGGTTAAAAAAAGTTAATTTTTTTAATTTTCTCTTGTATGGTTTTTCATTTTATTATATAATTAGTACATATAAGTTTATTGTTATAAGTTTATTGTAATGTATCGCTTTAAATGTAATATGTATGAACTATTGTAGATGACATGGATATGAACATAGAAGTAGAAATAAGCAGTGGAGTGTCAATAATTAAAATCCTACCACATTCCTTAAAGAATTATTAATTAAAATTTTATGCTTAAAGGTCTATTCAAGTTAAGAGACATTAATGAGCCAGCTACATCCAGAGTGTCACCGTATTTTTAACTATTTCGATATATTCCTTTTAATTTTGATTTAAATAAATAAAAATAAAAAATATCAAATGATATTACCATACACTGGTACATGTAAACCTTTTTGTTTATGGGAAAAAAATGTACAAATGTAAGGTTAAAAGTAGTAAGTGTAAAATATTTCCACAGCTTACAGTAATGAATCATATCTACAAACACGAATTCAAGAAATGATATATATAGCTTTCTAAATGTTCAAGTTAAAAGTGCCTTAGGTTAAATTTAAAAAATTTGTAAAGTGACCGGAGATTATTAAAACGAACCAGTTATTAAATTCTATCAGAAAAAAAGATTCTCTAGTATTCATGAAAATAAAACAGTTAATAATTAGTTGTTGCGACACAAGAACCATTTAAAAGATACTGTAATTATGATAATAACTATACGCACATTATTAGTCAAAATATTTCAACCTTTTAAACGCACACGTTATGCATTATTTTTTCTAGAGCTTTTCTTCCTTCTTTTATTTAGTTTTATTACTTTAATTTTACTTAATACACATTTATTCTTTGTTCAGATCTTTGTCAGAAAAATAATATACTAAAAAATAATATAATAGAAAAGTAAATAATAATATAATAATATAAAGTCAAAGAATGAAATAAGTTATAAATCCCAATTGAACAATAGTTTCATTAACAGAATGTATTACAATAGAGACAGTAAAAGTAATTGAGAATTAATCAGTGTAATGTACAGATAAAGAAATAGTGACTAATAAAGCCAAATACAAGTTATAGGAAATAAACTATTCAATAACGAAGATATTAGGTCGTCCGGAAAATTTCTTCCTTTTTTTATGATAAGTTAAACAATATTGCATGTGTAATATAATTTTTTTTGTATTTTACGTTATTTTACTAAATAATATCAATTCTACTCTATTTTACCTTTTTCTATACTTTAACACGTTGACTGCACGTCACTCATATTCGGCTGACAGTAAAGTTTCTGATCGGGCAGCGTCACCCGTATTGCTGTGAAGTTTATTTGACTACTTGCGAAGGATATTCGTATGTGTTTGAAAAGATATTTGGCAGAGGAAGTATCAAAACTATTAAATATTAATTAATATAAACTTATATTAATAATAGAATATTCATTAATATAAATTGTTGCAATAAAAGTAATACGAAAATGGTTTATTAAGAAAATTATGTGGGATGTAAAACTTTAAAACATTCTATACAAAGCTGAAGTTGGTCAGGACAGCTTGGACAATAAGTTGTTGTTTTCTTTTAATTCTCTCGTGTCTTTGACGTGTTATCTTGTTCTCAAGTTTTTTCAGAACATAGCTAAAAGTTAATTTGACATAATGTTTCTTACAATTTGCGATTATGCCTAGATCCAGTAATTATATAAGGCTAGTCGTATTTGGTGGTAAAAACACTATTTGTACATTAGGATATACATTAGGATGTCAAAGTACTACCCCACATAGTCAGGGTTTGTCCACACATGTAAATGTACACTGATAGGAAATATTAAACTGATGCTAACACCGCTGAGATTCATATACCGCACAAAAAAAGTCGCACAAAAATAGGATCGCATAAAAAAAAACCGCACAAAACAGGTTTTACTGTACATAACCATCTTCAAGTGATTCTGCTAACGATTCCTAAAGACTGCTATAGGATTATACCGTCATCGCGTTATGTAAGGATCCTGTGGTCACCATAGAAATATCGGACGAAATATAACGAAAAATATACTTTATTAATTTTAACAAAAATATATTAATTAGGTAAATAGTGAATCGCGTCTATACGGAGCGACAGTCAGTAAATAAAAGTGACTGTGCTTAGTATTTTATATAGGGATCGTGCGTGAAATATAGAGGTAGAGCATTATAAAGATGAGTATTCTCATCCGCCATCTTTGCTCCTCGAGTGAGCGGACAGTTTTAAAAAAACATATGTGGTGAGTGTTAGTCTGTGAGTTTTATCGTTATCTTTTGCAATTTTTTTAATTATTTGTGAATGAATAAAGAAGAAATTTTATTGAAATCGTGTAATAGTCGTAGACAACTAGTGATTTCTGTCTGAAAACATATTGAAAAATACATTTGATTTACTAAAAGTATTATTTGAGAAAATCAACATTGATTTTCCAAATTGTTGCTGTGTTAAGTACAAAATAATTAAACATTTTTTCAATGTTCGTTAGTATTGCGTGAAAAATTATTATGAAAACTGCAAACGTCATACCAAAGTGTATGGATCTGCGACTATGAAATGAAGAATTTTAAACATTTAATTTATTCATTTGCTGCACATATATTGTGCATTGTTAATAATGATATTAATTTTATTATTTAGAATTTTATAATATTTTTACAACGGAACAAATGAATAAATAAATATAGATATATTCATATAAATGATACAAATTTATTTTATTTCAAATGTACAATTCTAACTACTCACTTATGCTATGTACAGTTCATTACTTTTTTTTTTAAAATATATACAATTTTTACCATGTTTAATTAAGTTTATGATTATGAAACATTGTATTGTAAATATTCTGAAGCTGCTGAATACGATTTATATTCTCTTAAAATTGCATTCATTCTCTCTATTTGAGCCCTTATAGATTTTCATATAGATAGATTTTCAGCAAGCAAAGATATAATGGTCTCTCTTCGTCAACAGATTTTATTCCACTTTCATACTTCTAAAAAAGATACGATTATTATTTTTAAACTTACAATTAATTTATATATTTATATAACATAAACATAAATAATTAATGTTTCAAAATAAGAATATAATACCATTTTGCTTTTAGCAGCGACTGATCTTTTGTTGTCTTCCTTTTTTACTGACATACTTTTCATCTGTTTTAAAATAAAAATAAGAGTTATTAAGCTTTTATTTGTAATATGTTATTCAATATATTTAATATATATTACTAAACAAATCCAGTATTTTTATAATTTAAACAGATTATCTATTTTTCAGAGTAATATTAAATCATTACTTACCAAATTATTACTGAAACGTTCCAAATAGAGAGGTTATCCGTGTTTATAAATCAATCACTAAATAGTATTTTGTAGTTTAATCTATCTTTTAATGTTAAAAATAGAAAGGTTAAGCACTAAAATCAACTATCAAATAGTTTTTTTTAATGAAATTTAATACAATTATCAGTAAATAATTCAATCTCGGTTTATGTCAACAAACGTGTTTACTGTACAAAACCATACTGGCTTCTGCTAGTGCAGGAAAAATTTTGAATTTGTAGAATTTTTGGGATTGTTGGGATTGGATTTATTTGATATTATTGGATTTGGAGTAAAAGTTTCAAACTTGATGACCTTTTTTTTAGTCTTCAAGTTCAAACAAGCTGTCGTAGGTACGGCGTACGGCAAGGAGAGAGATCAGATAGTACAGTGATGGTTCTTGTGATTCTACAGTGATAATTTTTTGTTTTACCGATACAATTACGTAATATCAATTATCGTACAGGCTGAATTTTGGATCGTGCAAGGCTTCAAATTATGTGACGCGTACGATAATTATCGTACGAATGGGATCACTGCTTCTCTGTAGGAGCAAATATGGCGGATGAGAGTACTCATCTCTTTATTGCTCTAGACGCACGGTCCCTATACCGAAAAACTACAATAGTAAAAAAAGGTTCCCATTGGCTGCTTATCGAACGTCAAGTGTGAAGCGTTCTCATTGGCTTCTTGCTGGACGGCGAATATGAAACGCCTTTACATGATCATGAGGAAGCGCCGAGATGTAACTATGCTCTCCACACTTATGTTGGGAACCAGGACGGTGGACAGAGGTTATCCGGATAATTTATATTCACTTTCTAAATTTACTAACGAGAAAATATAAATTTTATTATTATTAATAACCAGTACACTCTTGGACGCCATATATTAGACTGATACCTCTTGAACGTTATATTATTTTTAATCTTGACTCGGTTGGTTCCCGTATAGAGAGAAAAGGCGCTAGTATACTACGTCGATACGCTAAGCGTGTATCGCTACGGTTAAGTAAAGACCCTGTAGGAGGGACGCGCCATGTGGATTACAAGACTGAAAATGTGGGGGGACAGCTTCCATTGCATCGCGCAGTCATGTTTATCTTTAGTATGTATTAACGGCTGTGGTTAGTTTAAGTTTGGAATACTAATAGTTTTTAGTGTGATATTTATGTTTAATTATTTTATTTTTTTTAGTAGTTTTCTATAAGTGTAAGTTTAATTTACTCATTTAATAATTACAAGTATAAATGTACAAACCTAACCTATAACTTATCGTTTGTTTATAGACTTATTGCCTTTTATCAAATCAAACTTAATTGAATCTTTCTTATTGAATTTATAATAATTTTTTTGTGTAACCTATTCTATTTTAATATAAATTTTTAATTATCATTAAATATAGTTCATTTTTTTCTGTATTTGATGCAATTCATTATTTCATAATTATTTAAATGTTTGAATATTTCGCGCGCAATCACGTGACTACACGAGTTCCTGTCCCCCGGCAACGTACATGGCGCGTCCCTCTTATAGGATCTCTACGGTTAAGTACCTACTACCGCCCACTGGTAGCTTCATAACTCAGATGAATCTAGTTAGAAAAAAAGGAAACTTGTGAGCTTCTATGTATTTCTTTATTCTTTAATTAATACTCATCACACGGAGCCTAGATTCATCCGATGATCTGAGATAGAGTAATCCTGCTGTGTGTTAAATTTTATTTCTCTGTCACTTTGAGATACGAAATACTATAAATATATTAAACAACTTCATTTATAGAATTGCAGGTACGCTATATATAATAATTGTATTTAATACACTCAGTTTTCATGATAAATGTATATAACCGATATATGTATTATCATTTTTCAATGTATCGTACATTTTTTATTTGCAATGCATAACTAAAATATTAAAATATTCAATAAATAATAATAGGAATTTCTAAAGCATTTTAATAAAATTAACAGAACTAAATATATACTTACATATTTAAAGAATTTATTACATTAATAGAATTGATATGCTTAATGTAAAAGAGGTTAGTTTTTGCATCATGTTAATCATGGTCAATGAACTATTGATTATATAGTTTACTTTTAATTATTATTTATCGTAGACCAAAATTCGCTATAGATAAATACACGTTTAAAAACATACTGAAATTATATTTATTCTTACTCAAATAAATAAGTTATTATAACTCAATGTGAATTTAAAAAAAGAAATATCGTAAATGCATAAGAGATAAGAATATGTTTGTGTCGTTAATAGTATTGACTTTTTACTACGCAATTTATACTATGTTTTGTATTATTATTTTATTAATTATATAATTTAACTTACTGGATCGTTTACGATTTCTATTCTGTATTATATTATTTTATAAGTTTTCTAAATCATAAATAATAATGCAATGTAGACAATTCATAATGTTAATGAAGTTTGTAACAAGGAAGTGGCTAATGAAAAGACAGTATGTTAATGATTTGAGAAGTTTCAATCTGGTAATATTGATCTTGAAAATGAACATTTATGATCTGAAAACAAATTTTTATGCCACACGGCGTTGCTTCACTTTTTATTATTATTAATAAGCATTATATATAGGAACTCGAAAGTTCATTGCCGCAAATACTAAATCCCGTGTTCCTGTCCCTGAGCGCGACGCTTCCATTCACAGCCTTTGCAGCCTATTTCCTTAAGATCCCTCCTAATATTATCCTTTCATTTACGTCTCGGTCTTCCCAGTGGTCTTCTTTTGCACTACTTTTTGCATGAAAAAATAAATCATTCCCAATAAGTTGTAGAAAATGCCTTTTAGCACCCCATACTTCTTTACTGCTGTCATTAATAAGTTACTATTAAGATGGCAAAACTGTACCAATAGTTTAAGATTATACTTTGATTAATTATATTGCTTTTTGCTTGAGATATAATAAACGAAACTCTTAGTTCTATATTGGATATTTCATATACCTAATATGTCGTTGAAAAATTATTTGAATTATTTTACTAAGTAAAATAGATAGAGAAAATGTACATAACGAAACTAATCAAGTTTGGTACCCTTTTTAGAATGTCTAGCCGAGAAGGAGGTAAGAAAAAACCACTAAAGGCACCAAAAAAGGATTCTAAACAATTAGATGACGAAGATGTAGCTTTTAAACAAAAACAAAAGGAACAACAAAAGGCACTGGCAGAAGCAGCGAAGAAAGCTAGTCAAAAGGGTCCTCTTGTTACTGGCGGCATCAAGAAATCTGGCAAAAAGTGATTGCATTTTATTAAAAAGCATTGCACAAAAATTTGTCACAGTCACTCTGCAAAATCTTATAATGTTCTTACAGCAATGTCCACCGATCGATTTGCTATACGAAATATTTCTACTATCACATTTCGCTGCATCAGTTACTTGTAAATACAATTGAAAATAGATACAAATTGGATAGGTTATAAAAATTCCATGGAATACATATAATATTTCATCGTATGAAAAAATACAATTACAAATTTTTATTTTATTGAGCTGAACAAGAGTCATCCTTTGTGTCATTGAAATAATGTTAATATAATTTTATATGTAACATAAGATATAACAGCAAACAAGTAAGCTCGAAGAAAAGTCAAACAGAAAGAAACAATTTTAAAGTACTTCTTATCGATGAAATTTCTACAAACAAAAAGAAAATTATCCAAATATATTTATTTAGTCGTTTTATAGTAGCTTCTAATAAAAACAAGGAAACCTGTATAAATTGTTACTTTTATTTAGCATTAATTATATTAAATATGATTTTTCTTATGTGTTCTATGTATACATATATACATTTATAATCTCGTGAATCGATGATTATTTTTTAAACCGATAATTAAACGTAAATAGTTACATGTCGCGCCATCGTAAACTCAATGATGCAGTTATATACATAGATATATTAGCTTTCATACAGGTTTAATATCGCTCATTAAATTAACAAAGCTTTGAACGCCAACGTATCGACCCACACCAGTGATGCCAATTAACCTTGATTTTGAAATGCATAAAAATACTTTACCACGAGTTTGACCGACAAAAGGAAAAAAGAAAAGAATAAAAAAGTACAAAAATCGATTTCGATTCTATACGCTGAAACGTAAAAAATTTCCAAATTAATTACAAAAAATAATAAATTCTTGTCAAAAGTATACACGTGAACCCTTTTCATTAGCATGAAATGGAAAAAAAAATCGTTCTAGAGAATAATAATAGTGGTAGTAGTAGTAGTTCGTATATATTGAACGCGAGCGCGTGGTTAGATACGAAGCATGAATTACAGCTGATCGTCAGATGATCGACAGTGCTGGCAACATAAGAAAATAAAAAATCAGCCATCGTTGACTCTCTTTTTCTCTCTCTTTTTCATTGTTTGAACGTTATAATTCGTACGTATTTGATTGATTCTTAATAAAGTAACTTGGTCTAACGGATCTTTTCGATTCGGGCGTGAGGTGTTATTAATAATGGAAAAAGTTCGAGTGACGATCATTGACGAAGAAAAATTGTGTAGATATGTTTTGTTAAAAATGAATTCATAGAAAGAACAACGAACGCGCGTGTGCATAAAGGAAAGAAAGAATGAGACAGAGGGTATACAGCATAAGGAAGAAAGAAAGAACGACACACATATCGTCGATATACTTATTCTCGATGAAGGAAATTTAAAAAGTAAAAAGCAAAAATTTAATCGTTAAATAATAAAAGAAGAAAATATTTATCTGGTGCAGTCAAATAAAGAAATAACTAAAGGGTAATCGTTTAACCTTCGACCGCTGTAATGTTCGTCACGTAAGAGAAAAAGAACGAGTGTGAGTGAGAAAGAAAGAATGACAGTGATAATGATGAAGGTAGTGAGAGAAAGACGCAAGCTAGGTTAGTTTGGATCCTGACCGTTGGCAGCAGTGTCGCCAGTAGCTGTCACCGCCTGGGTCAGTTGGCAACAGACCTTCGAAGCGGTCGGTGGGAGGTGAGAGCTTTTGCTCGTTGTTGCCTTACGTCGTTTTTCTTTCTCTTTTTTTCCCTACCTTTTTCTCATTGTCTGTCTGGCTGTCTGTCTGTTTGTTACACTCCCCCCATAAACTCGGTATCCCCTCTCTCCATATATATAACATAATCTGTCGTACGGTCAACCTTTCGAAGGTATCATCATTGGTTCAACCCCATTCTCACCGTGGGTCGAGAGAGCGAATAAGAGAGAGAGAAGGAGAACGATCGAAGGGAGTATTGAAAGGATACGGTTCATCGGAGAGACAGTTCTGACAAAGGACGAAAGACGAATTCGTGTGTACGTCGATAGTCTCGAGAACGGCCATGGGGCCCGACAGGATCATTTGACCCCTGGAAACGACTCCAAGCTCGGTTGATTGTCTTGCTGCCTCGCGCGATACTTCGATTCGGTAAGTTATTACTTTAATTAATTTTTTATTTATTTTATTTTAAAAAAAATTTTTTTTTTATTAATACAATCTTTTCCTTTCTCTCTCATTTGTATACATTAGTATATAATTAAAATGCAAGAGAGAGAAAGTGAAATAAAAATAAACATCGTAAAAATCTCTTAACAAAAATATTAAAAATTAAGAATACATCGTCGTCATCGCTGTCGAGGGTTTCTTTGTCAGAGAGTGTGGTTACTTTAAACGTGCTAATATCGTGCTTTGAGTATGCGTGATGTGCCACTAGCTTTTCTTTCTGTTTTTATGTCTTTCTTTCTCTCATTCGCATATATCAGCGTACGCGTGCGCGCCTAACTACTGTCTGCAAAGGGACATATTTACATATTAACTGTATGTAATATCCTTTCTTTCCCCGCGAAAAGCCTCGATGGATCAGCCCAAATCTGACACTTTGCTGCCTCTTTTTCCATTTCCCCCTCCTCGCTCTCCATCTCTCATATCTTTCTTTTTGAATCACCATCTCAACAGAATTGAACTCTTTCGTCATCCCTTTCGTAATTGAATCATATTCATTATATTTCTCATAATTACTTACTTCATTTTTTTAATTTCCTTCTTTCATTTTTTTTTCTTTTTTTTAAACGAAAGAGTTGTTAATTATTTTTTTGGCATGAGCCAAAAGTAATCCTTTCAGGATGCAATGGCATATGGCATCGTCGAACGTTGAATGTATGAGAGCGCTTTAAATGCTAAGGGAACTCGAGAGTAGTCGAAGTGTAGTGGTAGTGGAAGTTGTGTGTGGACTTGTCTGCTCTGTTATCGAGCTGATCGGAAGAGATACTTATTCTTTTTTTACTCAACTTCTTTATTTCCTACGTTTTTATTGTTGTTAATTAATCAAATCTCTCTCTCTCTCTCCTCCTTCTTCTTCTCTCTCTTCCTTCTTCTTCTTCTGTCTTTTCCTTTTCTTTTTTTAAACTTATGAACTGTTTACAGGGCAAAACAATTAGCTCCACTTTAACAATTTTTTAAACACTTTATTGCCAAAATACTTATTCGATCCTTATTTTTTTGTATTTCAAATAAATGTCCCGTAATTATTAAATTTAACATTATTAAATGACAGCAATTGTTATGGCCTTCGAATAATAAATGATACAGCAATAAATATTAATCTATCATCTTTCTTCACTTTTTGTTTTGTGTAGTAAATCGATTGACAAATTGGTGGTTCATATATATATATATATATATATATATATATATATATATATGAATATCTTTCTTCGTATTTTTCATCTACTCTTTTAACCTTTTGTACAGTGTCGTCAGTTTGAGGTTGAGGTAACGTAACGCATGGTTCAAGGTATTCGCATGTTTTCTCCATTAAAAGTCCCTTCTCGACGACGATGGTTTCTCTCTCGTATTTTTCTTACATTAGTTAAAACTCTTTATCTTCGTGAAAGATGTACAGGCTTGTTTTACAAGTTTTAAACTGGATTAAAAAAGCTTATCTATCTACATCATCCATCATATTACGGAAGCTTCTCCTATCTTTTTCGCAATTTTTTCTTTCTTTTCTTTACATTTTTTATCTCATTTTCCCTAGGCTACGTTCCAAATCTTTCATTTTACATATAAATTCTCTCCATCCACGTACATACGCACGCACACACCTATACACACATATACAGAATTATGAAAGCTGAAACGATTTTTCTGAGATAACTAAAACCTTGGAAAATACTGTTTTTTTTAGTATTATTTTTCTATCTTATAGGAGTTTCTTTCGTTTGAAATGAAATTCTATTCTTTTTATGTGTTTCATCTTTCTCTCTTGTTCTTATTCTTATTGTTCCTCCCCCTCTGTTCTTTTATACCTTGGCATTGCTCTTTATTAATTGCCCTCAACGCATTCTTATGATACAGGGTAACCTTTTCCAATAGACGTCATCTTTATCAAGGGCGGAAGAATTATAGTTTCTTTCGCAAATTTTTCGAGTCGATCGAGGATAACAATAAGCTTCATTTATCTGCCGACCTTCAACGAAGATTATAGGACAGTGTTAATAGATTATATAGGAAGAAAATATTTGAAAAAAAAAGAAAATATAAATGCATTTCTTGATATTTATCTTCGATCCAGCGACATGGTTTTAAAACGTAAAAAATTGCAAAAATAAAAGAAATTTATCTAATTTTCACGAAAAATTTTACGTATCGTATGATTAAACGTCTTTTCAAGAAATCATTTCATAGTTTCGTGTCACGTCACGTTGATCTTTATAACTTTACTTTCTTCTTTGGATTTTTTCAAATCCTTCGAATATTATGACACATAGTTTACAACTTTTTAGATCGACAACATAAAACATATTTACTTTAAATACGGTAGTTCTTTTTTTCTCGTGAGACAAAAATAAGACAACATTTTTGTTATTCAAGATGACCAATAAATTCTTAGGCGGGTTAAAAGTTTTAAACTAATTTTTAAAATCAATTATCCTTTTTTCTGAGGTTTTTTTTTGTAAGCTTATATTGATTTTTCAGATTATTAAAAAAATTTTAAAAGTTTTAAGTTTGGCAATTTGAATAGTAAATTGGTAATTGATTTTAAAAATCGTTTTGAAAACTTTTAGTTTTTAAATAAATAAATATAAATGTTTAAATATATCAGATGCAGATAAATTATTGTTGCGTCTAATGCAAGTTCCGCTGTTAATATTCTAAAAACGGACGAATGTATGTGCGTTCAATATGTATACATACCCTACATATATATACCCACGTATGTATATACTTGCAATCGTCTCTTTCTTCGTACTGATCGAGGCAATCCACAACATACTACTATCGGTGTGCAAAGCCTGAATTAATACGAGCGATCGTTGCGTCACGCATTTCGAACGTTTTATCTTTCATAATAAAGACTTTGCCAGCATATGATCATTTCCGTCATCTTTTCTGGTTTTCTCTTTCCTTACTTTGGCTCTTATCTTTTTATAAAATCTCTAATTCAATGGCAAATGGTTGTTGGAAGAAGTTTTGAGCTTTAATATAGAAACAATTTTTATTCGGTCATACACTTTTTTTTTTACAAAAAAAGAAAGAAAATAAAATAAACATTTATTTTTCTATGAAATTATTTCAAATTACTCTTGTAACTGATAAGAATTTACAAAAGAGAAAGAGATAAATCGTATTTAAAAATTGTTCAGGTATACGATAATTTACGTAAGGTTTCAACGATCCCTGTTTACGCTAAATATTTCTTTCTTTCTCTCTTTTACTTTTTCAAACAACAACAACAAAAACAATAACTTTTATTCTTTTTATCGACTTAGTCAAAATTATTCAGAAAAAAAAAATAAAAAACAGAGAAAGAAAGAAGGAGAGAAGAAAAGGAAAGAAATAATAGTAATAAATAGGAAGAAGGAGAACTATCTTTCCGTGTAGTGACATTTAATTGATCGTTAATGTTCCGTAAAGTCTCTTTGCAAAGGCAAAGAAGAACACCTTGATACTCTCCGGTCTTACATAATCTTTGGTACGCGTTACGTCAAAGACGTACGTATCGTGCACGCTTTTGCTCCTGTTTCAGAAGCCAACTTTATATCTAGAAATTTTTTTTCCTTTTTAATATAAATCACACACATGTAACTATTTATTGTATCTATATTAAATTTGATCGCGCGTATAAATATATATGTGAATTTTTTTAATATATATACGATTATAAGAAAAATGTATATTGTCATTAATCGACATGAAAGCTTTCAAATAAATCGATTTAATATATAAGAGAAAGAAAGAAAAAGATAAGTTACTTGGACGATTTCTTTTTCTCCCTTCATATTTTTAGCAACATCAACGATACTATGACGACGATGACGCTTTAGAGAAAGCTGCTATTTTATCCCTTTCCACGTACAGAAAATATATATGTATATACTTTTAGTTGTATATATGTGCGTGTGTATTACTTACTTGCAATGCAAACGTTGCAGCACAAACGACTCGTTTGCACGTAATTGACGTTGAGCCAAGGTTCGAGTTCTCTTGTATTGCGAGCTTTTAAGTATCCCCTAGGTATACATAAGTACGTACATACAAACTTACCTACCTAAATACGTAAGTACACACATAGATATGTACTTATGCATTAAGACGTCTTGCAAAATCCACTATTGCTATCTAGAAATGCATTAAACTCATTTATATGTATACTACATATACCTACATATACTACACAGGTAGTATACGATAATTAGACACGTTTATATTTATCTCTGTAAGGCAGTAATTAATTTCAACGCCAAAATTAATAGCATCTTGGGATTAGATCGGTCATACTATGTAACGATCCACGCAAATACGTTTGTTTTATTAATCGTTAGAGTACCAGAGATTTTTACAATTAAAAATAGAAGTAATACTTATATATATAAGTTTTCCTTTCATTATATGGGAGGAAACTCCCACATATATATATAATAGAAATGTATTTTGTTTAATACGTAGAGGAAGGCTGACAATTTCAGAGCCAATCACGCATAAGGGAGCAAATTTTTTTCGTAATTTTTGAAAGGTTGCAAATTAGAGCCATGGAATACTTAAAAGTATTGAATATGTGTATATGCTACCGTGAAAGATTGAAATTTGAGAATGTCAAGATTCATATGGTCGTTTGTCAACATATACCAAATACATCGGTGAAAGACCAAATATTTGGATTTATTCTTTATACATTAATATTTGGAATATATACTAAGTGACCATATGTATCTTGACATTTTCCTATTTCGGTCTTTTACGGTAATATATATTATATATATATATATATTTATATATGTATTACACATATAATGTATGTATGTATGCATATAAAAACAGTTCCTCATTATAATGTGGGTCAGTTCGTTTACACGGTCTCTCGCAACGAAAGGCTTATCTCGGTTAAACCGAATGAATTGCAATTGAGTCTTTTACCGTCGAGACTT